GAAACGAACAGACCAAGACTACCCTGCCAAGCAATCTACTTCAGGAAGAAATGCACATGTACCGTGAGCAGGAACGCCTTTACCTGTGGAACCTCAGGTGCCCTCGTAGGAGCCATAGCCTCTTACACTGACTGAGCAGAAAGGAGGTGGGGCATTGTAGGACCCCATCTAGTGTTTCCACCTGTGGGTAATCCAGTGTAGGTGAGACCAATTGACGAGTGCAACCTATGTGCTGGGCTGGTTTCTACTATGAAAGTGAATATATTTTATAAAAGAAAGTGAATATAAACTATTACCATGTCTAGTGTGATTTCAAAAGGAGAACCCATTACACAGACACTGAAAAAGCAGGGTCTTTCAGTAGTGCCTAATACATGTCAGTCTTTGTAAGCTTTCTGTGAGCAGATCATGTGTTTGCTGTAAGAATCAACATCAAAAGACAACTCACTAACAAGAGTTTAAAACCATCCACATTATAGCCCAATGGTCCTGGCCTTGGAGATTAAGATGACAGATGAGCTGGTAACACAACAAAGAATACTGGACAGAAGAGTCCTCTAGACCAAAGACAGGTCCCATAAGACCACAGATCATTTCTGAAAAATCATCAAAACCCATAAATCTTTCTGAACACAAGGCAAGAGAAGAGCACCAAATCAGAACAAGGAAAAGTTGGTTTATGTCTTAAAAACTCTCGCAACAAACAAAATAAAAAATGAGATGACAGCTAATAACAAAAAAGGAAATGCAGAGATAAACACTAAGAACTAAGAGGCACAGTCATCCAAGCCATAACTGGAAGTCTTGGGAGGCCTGAACAGCGAGGGTTAGGGGCTGGGCTGCTAAGCAAGGTCAGCAGTTTGAAACCCCCAGGTGTTGCTCAGGAGAGAGACGAGGTCTGCTACTCCCGAAGGGTTCCAACCCAAACCCAACCCACTGCCACTGAGTCCATGCCGACTCACAGGGACCCTATAGGACAGGGCAGGACTACCCTTCTGAGTTTCTGAAATCGTAACTGTCAATAAGAGTAGAAAGCCCTGGCTTCCTCCCACAAAGCAGCTATAGTGTTTTCGAACTGCTGACCTTGCAGGTCGCACCCCAACTCATAAGCACTATGCCACTAGGGCTCCACTCTGTAAAGGGTTAGCCTCAGAAACCCACAGGGGCAGTTCTACTGTCCTAGAGGGTGGTTATGAGTCGGAAACGATTCAATGGCAGTGAGAGTGGATTGGTTTGGGGGAACATTTGTTTACAAAGCCAGACACAAAGCTTGGCATTCAGTTTTTGTGAAGTACACAAACTCACCCAGGATACCCAGAACCCAACTGTCTGAATGCTTTGATTAAAAACATAATTGCATCCACAGGCCAAAATGAGCAAATGCTGCTAGTTTTCACCTTCACGGGAGGGGTTGTGCCTGTCCCAGAGTGCCGGCGGATCTGGCAGCCATTCTGGCTGGGCCTCTGTGGCTTGTTGTTCAGTTGGGGCTTCTTCACAGTGCCTCCATGGTCATTTCTCACGGAATCCACCTTCTCAGCAGTTGTTTTGCTTAAGAGCTGATCAAGACACGTGAAAGAAATTAATGCTCATATCAAAGCAAGTCATGTATGAAAAGTGCCTTCCTGGTTCCAGCTTCTTAAGACAAGAATAATCCTAAACAGTGTATTTTGTTAAAAAAAAAAAAAAAAGAATTACCACCGAGCTGTTGGCATCTGGTAGGAATTGTCCAAACTCTGACAGTAAATCTTCCTGATTTTTAAAGAGCCGCGCCACTTGGGCATACACTTCCTGCTCTGTCAGCGCAGGGGTGTAGTTCCCCCCAGCTTCCTTGGCGTTTCGCTGCTCTTTCTGAATAAAAAAATGACAAGTGAGAAGAGATCAGAGCGCTACTATTTTGAATGACTCACTTTGCACACTTTCTGGGATATCTAATAGTTGTTTTGTATGCTACCAGACTTCACCTGTTTTGACTGAGAAAGGAGAAGATGGTGGCTGACAATTCCTTTAAAAGTAGGATAGTAACTGTCAATGCCCAGGGACAACTGCCATGTGATAAAACACAAGGCGTTAAGAGAAATTCTTCCTTTTACTGTAGATTAACTGCACAAAGCAAATTGTCCCTCTGGCTTTCCAGATAAACAGCTCTCCCTTCACAGGGCTGCGTGCTGCAGGCATATCATCAGGCAAAGACAATGGACTTTACACACCCCCACTGTACTCTCCAGCTGACTAACTTCAGTAAGGATAGTGAGCATCAACAATTGTTACTCAGTTTCTCCTCAAGCCAATGCCCTGAGAGCGAGGGTGACCTGCCGAAGGCAGACGAAAAGGGCAAAGTCACTTACTTGATACGTGTGCAAAATCTCCAGAAACGCTTTGTAGATGTCGGGCTGGCCCTGGAACCTATTCTTGATCTTATTAACATAGTTGATGGCGTGATTAAACTCCACAGGCTGATTGTTCTGCAAGGATGGGGCTGTTCCCAATGAGATTGTCACTGGTGTGTGAGGCTGGACTGGCGGGGAACGTGGTGATGCATATGGTGGAAGTGGGGGAGTCTGCTGATTGGCTGGATTATGTGCTTGTAGTTGAGAAGGCTAAAACAAACAAAAGCATCATCAGGAACACAGGTAAGAAACAACACACCTGGCTAACTTATAGTCTTTACGACTTGGCCAAGTCATTTTAACTCCATTTAAATAAACCGTACTGGGAGTAAGGTGTGAAGGGCTCCCGCATCCCATGACAATAATTCCATTTCAAAATATAACCTTAAAAAAAAAAAACCTTAAAGCTAGATATATTTCCAATTATAGGAAATACTTTTAATATGTAATTTTTTAAAAAGCCCCTTAGTTCACCAAATACAAATAGATAAGAGCACATTTTACAGGGATCTTCAATGTCAGAAAAGATAGCACCTCAATTTTGGCTTAATTCCCCATAAAAAGTCGTTGATATCATTGCTACCCTAGTAGGACTTGCTTAGATGTGAAATGTTCTTTCTTTGCACTGTCCTGAGTGATCACCACATGTGGCTACTGCAAATGCAAGAAGAGCTGAATAGATTTTAATTAAATGAATAGCCCTAAGTTAAGTGGCTGGTGGCTACCTTACTGAGACAGTGCAGTTCTGAGCCAAGAACATGTCACCACCATGTGCTCCTGCTCATCTTCATCTGATCCAGTCAGGTCAAGAGAGTACAAGTGTTGTAAGATAATGACCAGGTGGGGAAGTACTCTAATTTAACCATGATAAAATGGTCATTTCTGCCTATACTGTCAAAGTCACAAAGTCACCAACTCTTTGGAAACTCATGGACTCAATCAGCAGCAATTAGGGGCAAAGGAGTTCTTAAAGAACTCCTTTGTTGTTTTGAAATTGTGTTGATTTGAAATCGCGGTAGAGCAATTCTCACTCATGGATTTTGACTCCCCTCAGTGCTGAGCAGAATGGTGCTCCATAGGGTTTTCATGGCTGGGACTTCTCCAAAGCAAACCACCAGGCCTGTCTTTGCCACAAGCCCCTCCGCTAGTAGTGATGTGTACCACCCAAAAACACCATAGCTGTAACAGATATCTAAATATTGGGTGTGTGACTGTGAACTACTTTAGTTTGTTGACAACTTCACACTTTCTTTGATGAAATCATCTAAGTATTATATAATGGGGACACATCAATGAAGTGCTTTCTAATGCTGAAATTCACATCATGGAAAACATTCTTGGTGCTCACCTTGCTAACTTTGGCAGGTGGAGGCTGAGGAGCAGGCTGGGCAGGAGCTGGGGTTGACTGTGCTGAAGGCTGGGACGGATGTTGGGGTGGTGGTTGAGGCTGAGGCTGTATGCCATGGGTGGGAATCTGATGAACCTGACCAGGAGTTGTGACATTCACCATGTCATTGGTTTGCACCTCAATTTTGTAGCCAGGGGGCAAAAAGGTATTGAAGCCCATGATCAGGTCTGGGTGGCCTTTGAACAGCTGGGACACCCGACTAATCACTCCTGGAGTGTCAATGCTGATTTTAAAAAGGAAAAAAAAAAAAAAAAGACATTCAGAAGAAAAATGACACACATTCTACTGGGCTTTCTAAACAAAATAATAGATAAAACAACTTGCATAATTAACAATTAACAACACATAAAATACTCTTTAAAATTCTAAGTTAGTTTCAAATGTACATTTAAAGAGGTTTGTTTACAATTAAAAACTGAATATACATTTATGGTAATAGTTATCAAACAAATATCGAGACAGTAAATCTAAGCAAAGTAAATTTGCTTGTACTTCAGCAAAACCAAGCTTTGGTGCATGGTGTGACGCCTTCACTGCTTGCATGAGCTGCTCCCTTGCAGGTGTCAGAACACCAATGTCTCTTTCTTTTTAAATTTTTTTTCCAGTGTCTCCTAAACCAATGAAAACGTGAAACCGCCGACACCATTAGCAATGCGACTTCCACAACGGAGAGGATACGCAAAGCAAGTTACCAACAGGAAGAAAACCAAGGTCTACTTTCTGTCATTTCAATCAATAAAGAAACAGAAACCAAAGACATGGCCGTGAAAAGTAAATCCACCACAGCGGGGCATCCTTTATCTTCTAGCAGAGGAAAACGAGCTATATTCCTCCCCCTACAATGAACACTGCAAGCACAAAACTTGAAGATCACCATGTATGTCATTTACCTCTGAGATTTAAATTCCTTCATGATGTCAAGGAAGTCATTGTAGACCTGAGGCTGACTACCAAACTGCAGCTTCACCTGGTCAAGATAGGAGAGCGCATCCTCCACCTGATGAGACAGGGAGAAGTGTCCATTATACAGAGAAAATAAGCCAAGAATCACTACAGCTAAATCAGGTACATAAAAATAAAACAATCTCTTATGTAAATGAAACAAATGTCTACAAAATTGTGCACGGAGATAGTGACAAAGTAGCTACAGTCCTAGCTCCATAGAAGTTTGTTCACATCTTGTCAGGAATCACAATAGAGCGGCGATGTACTAGACAGCAATGTCAGTAGGTAAAGAGTGGGCAACTGTTGAGTGTAGGGAAGGGATGGCTTCCCTAGGAGAGGGTCTAACCTGAGCTCTACGGATGAGTACAGGTCAGCCAATGTGAAGCCCCGTGAAGAGTCAGAGGAAACAGCATGGTAAAACGCCACAAGGGGCCTTTGGAAAATGGAAGTCAGCTGACTCAGCGAGGATTCAGCAGACACAGGTCACAGGGCAGAGTAAAAGGCTCCATTGAGTCTCCACAGGTATACCTGATGGAAGCTAACTGTCACACCTGTCTCCTATAGGCTGGCCAGTGGGCGTGAAGCACCGGTTGTCAGCCAAGCGCTAAACTACTGTCCTAGCAGGACTTCCCAAACTGAAGAAGTACTGGGGTCAATGTATAAGTCATTCCACTTTGCCAAGAGTCCTTTACACTGGCTACTGAAGTTTTTGATTTGTTTTGCTTTAAATACAACTCCAGCTATCATTTATCATGTGGTCACATACTTAAAAGTTTGATGTTATCTGATATGAGTCCTACTTTCATGATACACGAGAGGCCTGGAGCTGCTGCTGGGTGTGTGTTGGACTACTAACCACAAGGTCAGCGGATCAAACTCTCCAGATGATCCTTGAAATAAAGACGACAGTCTCTGTTCCCATAAAGATTTATGGCCTCACAAAATCTCTATTGGATTGTTGTCAGTCCAAATTCATTCCATGGCAGTTGTTTTCTGTGTGTGTGGTTTTATGCCACATAAATGTGTTTAAATGTTATGTCCAGAGCTGCCCTACGTCCCTCAAGGCAATAGTTACATGAAGAGTATTTCATTGTTGCTATAACACAAATGGTACACGGGGATACCTGACAATAACTGGAATCCCCCCCACCCCACCCCACCCCAATCTATGTATTTAAATTTTTTTACAAAACAACCTTACCACCTTCAAAGTACTCTCCATTATACTTATACATTGGTCAAATCTGCGATTCTATTCTTGGAAACATTTTTTTCACCTCTTCAACATTGTCAAATTGCTGTCCTTTCATTTCCCCCCTTCATTCAAGGAAACAAAAAGAAGTCCCACAAGTGAGGTGAGGTGAGTAAGGTGCATGGGGCAAGAGAGGCATGCTGTTTTTTGCTAAAAAAACTGGCTTACTGAGATGGCTGTATGAGCAGGTGCATCATCATGATAGCAAAACCAGTCTTGCGTCTGCCACAAATCAGGCCATTTTTGTCGCACACTGTTAACGCAATCTTTTCAGAATCTCTAAAGAGAAAGCTTGATCAACAGCCTGACCTTGTGCAACGAACACCAAATATACTATGAACTGACATTTTCATCCGTTTGGGAAGTTGGTGGACATCCAGAACGAGGTTTGTTATCAATCAACAGTTAGCCTTTTTTGCAACAAGAAAACCACTGGTACACTTGAGCTTTTCCCACAGTGCTGTGCTTGTAAGTTGTGTTCAACATCACAACAGTTTCTGTGGCATTTTCCCCAAGCAGGAAATAAAATTTCAGTCACACACTGCTCTGATTAATCAGCCATCACACACACAAAAAAAGAATGGGGGGTCAAGTGAAACTTTTACAAAAAATTCACTGTGACCAGAGAGCACCTTCCCAGGTGACGGCCACTAGGTGCACTAACTCAAAGCAAATTACTCGATGTTCGCTTCAAAGGAAAAATGCATACTAAGAAAGCTCTGCTCTGCCCAGTACAATTCTGCTATTACCTCATATACTTGCTCTATACCCACTCCCCTTTGGTGGTTGATTTTTCTATACTTTAGAAATCAAATGGCCATTTCTACTGGACATTTTCATTAATGACCAAGTTGAGGGCACAGAAAGCACACGAAATTTGGAGCAGGAACAAAGGCAACAGGGATATTTAAGAAAAGTACCAACAATCACATGAGCAAGGGGGGGAAATCAATAGACATGATATATTGTAATATCATTACTATATCAAGCAAAAAAAAAGTTTAGAAGCCTGAAGGAGAGAAGTATATGTGATATGAGATGGCTTCAAACAGTTCCTGAAAAATGTAGTTAAAAGATGAATGGCATTTCTCTTAACTTTTTGAAGCTCCCCTGATATGTGTATGTTTAGAAGAAAAAGGAATTTGAAGGTCACAGTGAACCATCGTTTAAAATTTAGTTATAAATTAACACTACCTTTTAAAGAAAGCAAAAAAAAAGTATGATCCCATTATAAATGAGAAACCATCCAGGACGGATGAGCCCTATAGGACCAGTGGTGTGAGTGGCAAAACAGGGAGAGTAAAGGGAGAATGGGTAGGAAAGAGGGAACCGATTACATGGAACTGTGTGTGACCTCCTCCCTGGGGGACAGACAACCGAAAAGTGGATGAAGGTAGAAGTCGGACAGGGCAAGATATGACAAAATACCCATTTATAAACTATCAAGGGCTCATGCGGGAGCGGGGAGAGGGGAGGGAGGGGAAAAATGAGGACCTAATGTCGTGGGTTTAAATGGAGAGAAAATGTTTTCAGAAACGATGTACAAATGCGCTTTACACAATTGATGTGTGGATGGATTGGGATAACAGTTGTATGAGCCCCTAATAAAATGTTAAAAAAGAAAAAAAATAAAATAAAATAAATGAGAAACCACTTAAAAATCATGAGCAAATTCTTCCATTGCCTAAAGTATAACTCTCTATAAAAGCATGCATAGAATCCAAGAACAACTTAACAACAACAACAAAAAACAACACCCCAAGCCTTAGAAGTAGCTATTGAATAGCTGCAGACATAAGAGGAGCACCTAAGGAGAATCTTAGACTTCGCTGCTGAATTTTCCTGGATCACGTTAATAGGATCATTCCAGATCTTGTTTGGAAGACCAACACAAACAACTATGAAGAGAACTTGCTAAATATGTGCCAAATATTTATGGTGCTGGCATTCAACAAATAAAATCACACCAAGCATCCCTCAAATCATTCAAATTTTCCTTGTCACCAATCTGCCAAAGACAAAAGGAAAGTAGGGACAATTTGATGCTTAAAATAACCTAAGCATTCTCATGGAATACATCCTTATTATAGCGTATAGTAAATTGTTTAATGAAGTCGATGCAAATGCTTATAAGGCATCTTGACTGATCCAAATAGGGCAGGCAATGTGGGACTACTGAACTAAACTTCATGGCAGCACAAGAAAGCATTTTACCTCTCCTCAGTAGAAAGCAAACACAAGTGCTTATAACTGCAAGAACAAAACCAGAAACCCAAGCTCTGCTGTGATTCACACTCTAACCTCGACTCTAAAGCCATTCTTGCTTCTTTGCCAGTCTCTATAAAACAAAGTCCAATCTGTATATTTATACCCAGGACTCCTGTGAGGAAACTAAGTCAAGAACGTGTTGTGCTTTGATAAGGGCACTTAAAAAAGGCTCCAAGAATAGATTTCTGCTAGCTTTAATAGCACATTTAAAAAACTTTGTGCAACAATAAAGCATTAACTATCGAATACAGTATTACTATGGAATTAATCAGTTAAAGCAAAACTTTAATAAATAGTTTCAGGGCTTGGTAAAGTGCTAAGTCTAAACAGCAATAAATTTGGGCACACAGCCATCACTCTACAGAGTATTAACATTTGAAAGAATGTATCAGCAGATGCACATCAGCCTGTGTGATCACAAGGTGTCGAAGGGATCAGTTACCAGGCATCAAAGAACAAAAAATTATATCACTGTGTGCTTACCTCCTCAGTACAATCACTGAAGACAAAAGGGTGCATAAGCAAATGTGGTGAAGAAAGCGGATGGTGCCTGGCTATCAAAAGATAGAGCGTCTGGGGTCTTAAAAGGCTTAAGGTAAACAAGCGGCCATTTAGCTCAGAAGCAACAAAGCCCACATGGAAGAAACACACCAGCCTGTGCGATCATGAGGTGTCGAAGGGATGAGGTATCAGGCATCAAAGAACAAAAAAATCATATCAATGTAGGCAATCATATGGAAGGGTCCCGGGGAGGAGATGAGTCAGCCACGGTGCAGTGTAGCAACGAAACATACAACTTTCCTCTAGTTCCTAAATACTTCCTCCCCACCTACTATCATGATCCCAATTCTACCTTAGAAATCTGGCTAGACCAGAGGATGTACACTAGTACAGATAGGAACTGGAAACCCAGGGAATCCAGGGCGGATGAGCCCTTCAGGACCAGGGGTGAGAGTGGTGATAACGGGAGGGTGGAGAGAGGGTGGGGTCGAAAGGGGGAACCAATCACAAAGATCTACGTATAACCTCCACCCTGGGGGATAGACAACAGTAAAGTGGGTGAAGGGAGACGCCGGACAGTATAAGATATGACAAAATAATAATTTATTATCAAGGGTTCACGAGGGAGGGGAGAGCGGGGAGGGAGGGGGAAAATGAGGAGCTGATGCCAAGGGCTTAAGTGGAGAGCAAATGTTTTGAGAATGATGAGGGCAATGAACGTACAAATGTGCTTTACACAACTGATGTATGTATGGATTGTGATGAGTTGTATGAACCCCCAATAAAATGATTTAAAAAAAAAGAATGCATCAGCAGAGGTCACACAAGGTGTCCGGAAAACGACCTAGCCATTTTTTAAGGCTGAAATCATTTGTACCCTCTTTAAAGATCTTGCTTGAGCTAATGGAGAGAACAGGTTTATAAACTTATAGAGTTTGGTATGCGACATTGTTCATGAAGCTTTCTAACTTCCTCAGGCCAATATGACATCAGTTCCTGAGAACTGAAACCAGTGCTTCAGAGGCTGGGGTCATTTGCTACACACGAAGCACCCTTCAAGAGGACATCATGCTTTCCTACCTCCAAGCAACCCAGGATAGAATCAGACTAATGTGCCCAAATTAAGAGCTAACATCTGATCTCTTTCTAGTGCAGACATTTGTATTTCACATACTCAACTCCACATTTTATAGAAATGTAAAATTAGCAAAACTGAACTCTGGAGCACTTGCTGCAACTCTCACACATTCTGAAAAGTATCGCTCAAGCAAGCAGCAGAGCAACAAGGTTAGCTGGGAACACAAGCTTCACTTCTCCAGACACCTCAGGAATTTCAAAGCCTGGAGCAGCCCCAGCACACACTCAGCAGAACAGATGAAAGCACTGCACTTCATTCACAATGAGGTTCCCCAACTTTCAACAAAGAATATGTCTTACTAAGAGTGGACCTGAAGATGTCAGTCGATTCAGCAAGTGATGAACAAGAATAAAGAGATCACACTGTAAGACATTGCCGGGGAGTAAGATGTAATTACTGTTCTGGCCCACCGCCCATCACATGTATGCTCAATAAACCTTATGCTAAAAACTAAAGAGTTTAAAAGAAGGCATCCGTGTTAATGGACTTTAAGATTTAGTTTCTAGGAAAATAGCTCCTCCCTTCTGATAATTTGAGTACTTTGCAGTCAATACATTGTGCACACATTTCTAGACTCAGGTCCCAGTATTCGTCTATGATCACACACCGGCACTAAGATGAGATGTTAAAAGCTGTCAAACCACCACAATGTTTCCAACTCAGATAAAAACAAAAAGACAGGAAAAAAGGAGCTGAAGAACACCTTGAGCCTTTGAAACTGTTGCTGTCCCTGCACGGGTGCCACTGGTGGGGTGGGGTGCGTGTGGCTCTGGACCACCTGGCCCCCATGGGGCTGTACCGCTGAGGGGTGATGATGGCTGCTGTGAACCGCTGCAATGGCTGGCCCATGACCGCTGGAGCTCTGTGGTACAGCAGAAACCTAGGAAGACAAAACACAGACAGGAAATGTTATGGTTTATACAGCCCCCCCCCCCCAAAGGTGTCATAGAAAGATAATTAGACAAAGTGCAAAAAAGTACCCACAAAGAGGATGATGAAATAAATGGTAGCCCAGTCACATAATAGGATTCTCTTCAGCTATTAAAAATCACTTAGATCAGACCTTCTTGCATTGTGAAGAACCAGTGTCTCCTTACTTGTAAAGCCTTCTTGAAAGATTGGATAGAGACGCATAGATGGCGCACTGGATTTAGGTGACTGGGGAGGAACCACTCAGAAAAGGGTGAGAATGGTTGCACGACTGCAAGAACGTAAGCAGTGCCACTGAACGACAGACACGGGTGCAGAATTAGTACAGGCTGTGCTGCAACAACAAAGTAAATGTGATTTTAAAACCCTGACACGCCACGGGCCAATAAAAAGTGGAATTCAGATACACAAGCCACATAACTATGATTCCGCGGATATGGAAGAGTCTAGACTAGGGAAATCTAGAAAGATAAAGGTCAGTGGTTGCTTAGGGCATGAGAGTAGAGGCTTGCGGGGCTTATGGATAGAGGGTTTCTTCTTGAAGTGATGAAAGCATTCTAAAAGTGCCTGTGATGATGATAGCATATCTGTGAATATACTAAAAACATTTTAAAATTATATACTTTGAATGTGTGGATTTAAATGGCATATGAAGAACATCTCAGAAAAAAAAGAAAAAAAAAGAAGAACATCTCAATAAAGCTGTTTTAAAAGTGGAGAAAAAGACAAACCCATAATTTTTATAGCTTGATTTGATGCAACTGTTGTCAGTACCTAAACGCTCAATTTCTCCCTTAGCTCATCAGACTAACAAAGTATACACACCAGCCCCTCAAGAGACAGACATAGATGACTCTCTTTTGCCATGACCGAACTTTTAAATAAGGAGACTATTTAACACCAAACCTTCCTCTCTCGAGGTAAAGAGGTACCACAACTTGATGAATAAAGTTTCTTCAAATTTCCATACATTTACAAAGATTGCCCTGACAGAAAATACCGAATCATAAAGTCACAGAAACAAGACTCAAAAGAAGTCAAAGAAAAACTATTTAGTTCCAAAAGCTCTACCCTCCGTCAAACAAGGGTTGTTAGTTTTGAGCTGCTATATTCTAACGTGTGTGCTGAACAGGTTTTTATAAGACGTCACTGGAATCTGTCAATACTGGGGATGGCTGGTTTTGTGTGGGCAATTACAGATTTGACAACCCCAGAGGGCAGGGAACAGTTGTGATAATAAAAACGATCACCAAGGGCAAACAAGCAGCCTTGCTTTGTCCTAAGTCCTTAAAGTCCAGACTAGCTCAGTTCTGATATGAGACCCCAGCCCCATATAGTAAAACATATGATTTCATAGGGGACTCCTCGAGAAGAGTGATACAGAATAAATACTGCCAAACTGCTCTCAAGAAAGATTACACCAAGTTATATTCCTAGCATCAACCATACTTTGTAAAAGCCACTACCAAGTTAACTGAAGATCTCCCCCAGGCTCATTGTTTAATTTAAAAAAAGATATTGCTAGAACCTATGCCTCTAAGGAGGCTTAGTGGGTTACATGTTAAGCAGCTAGCCACAAGATCAGCAGTTTGAAACCACCAGCTGCTCCATAGGAGAAAGAGTTATGCAATTTGATCCCAACAGCCTATCCACAGGAGGAAGAGGTGGTCTGCTTCCATTAGGATTATAGCCTTGGAGGGGGAATGGGGGGGAACAGGGGAGAAATGAACAGTTGAGACCAAGGGCTCAAATAGAAAGAACATGTCTTGGAAATGATGGTAGAAACATATGTACAGATATGCTGGATACAATTGATGTATGGAATGGTATAAGAGCCCCCAATAAAGTGATATTTAAAAAAAAGACTACAGCCTTGGAAGCCCTATGGACAGTCCTTCTCCTGTAGTCATTATGCACTGCACTGGAACAGACAGCAACAGGACGGGGTGGTGGGGGTGGGATAGGGGAGGTGGGTGTCTATATTATGAAGGGGCTTCAAAAAGTTCACCAAAAACCTCCATTTTTTCCTCAAACACCCCCCCAAATATATAGGCCTTAACCCACCCACCCCCATGGTCATCGATTACTTCCATCCTGTGCAGCAAGCCGGGGGGTAGGATGGAAGCCCTGAACATGTTCTCCATGAAGCAAACAGGACAGCCAGAACCCATGAGGTGTTGGCATGCATAGACAGCCTGAGCTGTCTTTTGTTGTGATAAATGTGTCTTTGTCTCTCAGCCTTTACCAATTCAGCTCTTTGCAGATGTATAACCTATTAACACTTAGAACCTTCTGCTGTGCAGCCCTATCCCTGAATGATGTGATTTTTCCATCACCACGAACCAAAACTCGGTGCTCCGCAAACAATTACAAAAGGACAATTAACAAATGCCTTCCAGTTGCACACAACAAACTGAGCAGGATATGGGACAGCAAGAGTAACTTATGATGGTGATGGGACTATCACTAGTATAAGTTTGGCAACAAACTGGCATTGCCTACCCATCCAAGTTGAAATGTTAGCACTCCGTGACCCAGCAAGCTCTCAGAGACTCTCAGAAACTCTTCCCCAGGTGCCCTCCAACCTGCTAACTGGTCTGCAACACGGGGCTGCTCCAGCATGTGAATCCCTGGGTCGAGGAACACTGCTTAACTGAGTTGTCCTTTGCGGACAAGGCTCCCGCACAGGAGCAGCACCGTGGCGTGCGTAAGGGACCTTCTCTTGCTGTAGAGGATCACGATGAGCAGCACCACACTAGAAGAATGCACCCCCATGTTCTCCGCAGCACCTCTAATCAGCAGGGCCAGAAACTGCCCAACTGTCCCTCAGCAGTGGGACGGATAAACATCGTCCTCTAATTTGTACCAGAGTGAAAATGACTCAACTACATCAACACTCAGTGAAACTCAATGAGTCAAAGAGCATATACAACATTTACATAGAAGTTCAACAAACTCATGCTAACTAAACAATATTGTTTCAAGAACAAACAAAAGTGACAGAAACTAAAAGAGACTAGAATGGCAGACGCCACGTTCCACTCAGCAGACCAGGAAGGGATGTATAGCACAGTTCTAAGGTTGTGGAGATAGTCCTCTTCCTCATTCTTAACCTGCACAGTGAGCTTCACAAGTGTACACTCTTACTACTTTTTGTACCTACTCCATTTTTAAAATGTCAAATTGAACACTTGATTTAAAAATGCTTAAAAAGCTTCACTGGGTGAAGTCACCAGTCCTCCTGTACCTGCTTGTGGCTGAAGTTTACCTGATAGCTGGGTGTCACCGAGTACTGAATGCCCGTGGCTGATTGCATGGTGTCAGACACGGCTTCATACACGGGAGGGGCAGGGGCGAGCACCCGGTGCTGGTGCGGAAAAGCCTCTGTGCTGCCAGGGATCCGCCGCTGCTGGGCCGCATACACCGGTGACTCCTGGTCATCCAAACGCCGCTTCATTCTGCGCTCATGCTCAGGGATGCAATACAAAACCTGCAGGAGCCAGAAACAATGGTATCCAAATCAATTTCCACTCCGGTATGGTGTATACAATTTAGGGTCAGTCACCCAAGTATAATAAGCTTGACTCCCAGACTGATTATCTACTTCTTAAATACAATTACTGGGTTGGTCAAGCATACACACACACACACACACACACACACAAGCATACACACGCGCGCGCGCCATAATTTGGGGGGGGGGAACACACTAAATTTAAGTAACAGTTCTAGCAGATTTGATACTGCAGAGTTAAAAAATAACATACACGATCTTTTTTCTTTAGTCTCTTGTTTCTCGCCCAATGCTACCCTTCCCAATATAAATACATATTCACATCCTCACAACATCATCGGAAGGCATTCTTCCTAACTCCTCCCAAAAGCTAGCCTGTGAATCTGGTATCCTTTTGCCCACAGGGAAATGGTGTGGTGGAACTAGCCAGGAGTAAGAGGACAAAGGCCCTAGACTTGACATCTAAGAAGCTGTGCACATTTCCATCAATTCCTCATCCCACCGGACTGTCCCTTTCCTCAAGTACAAAACAAGAAGGATGAAAAGAGATACTTCCTTAGGATTCTCCTCCCAGCATGCTTTGATACCAAGGAGGTTCCAGAATATCAGCCTGATGAGCCCTCCTCTCCAGAGGCCTTTCCTTTCTGAACGACATACAAGGGTCAACATCGCCGCAGACCGCGTAGACCTTTCCAATGCCACTTTCACTCACAAGCATGTTGCACCGTCAGTAAGAACGCTCCAGTTACCCAAGGACAAAAAGGAAGCAAATCCTCACCATTTCCCTGGTCACATGCACACAAATCTATTAACTAAGATTTCTTTATGGCAAGAAGATTAAAACATATATAGCGGGTGGGAGATCTAGCCAGCCGAGCCACCACATCACCTGAGGTAAAGCTTTTTAGTAAATGAAAAATAGCTTTCACCTAATTTCTGAGCCCACTCACCCTATTTTCTTCACTCCATGGAAGCACACAGACTCTGAAGGGGAAAATGTTCTCTAAGGACTCCCAAAGCAGACTGCCTTACCAGCTACCTCAACCTGCCTGCTGTCCTCAGCCTCAGCCTGGAACGTGGTGTCTCTGGTCTTTACCATCTCACAAACCTGAATCCATCAGACCCTGACACAGCAGCACAAATGGTTATTCTTTAAGTTGTTCATATTTTTTGCTGTTGTTCATTCTTAATATTTTGTAAAACTCACTGTAAGTTTGCTATCTTTACCGCCTTAACTTTAAATCCATGGGCTGTGTTCCTAAGTTTGTGGGTGAGGGAATGCTGAATTCAGTTCAGTGGAGTTGAAAACTCCGACGACAGCTGGCCAGTGGAAATCATTTGAAATGTCTCCATTAGTTATGTCTTGCTAAAGCTTTTCTAGTATGAAGTAGCCTACGTAGCTCAGTATTTTTAAGCTTCTCAAATACAGGAAGGATGTGGAAATAAATAGTTTTCTACGTTATTTGATACTTGAAGAGTCATCAGTCAACTGCCTGTGACATTCAACAATCAACCACCTATTTGGGGATGAAGAATTGAGTCTAAGATAGATGAAAAGTGGTGAAGATATTTTGTTTGCTACTTCTATGTACACCATGATTTGGCTTGAGTTCTGATGGTCTGAAACCTATAAGCTTAATACTCCAGATTAAACGGCAATCAAAAGCCAACTAAATAATCTATATATAGAAAACGAAGTTCCTATCAGAATAGCACAGCACAAGACCATGGGGAAAAACAAAGACATGAAGAGTACCTATCAGACCTGGCTTCTAGTTCTTAACTCTCAGCTGTCGCCTTGGTTTTGTTTCCCCACCTGCAAAACAAGATTGGTCTAGACTGCTGCTACTGGGGGCAGTGGAGTTGATTTGACTCAGCACAACTCCACGCGAGTGGGACAACGGCCCTGGCCCACACGGGTTCCCAGGCCATGACTGATAAATCACCACGTCTTTCTTTAGTGGAGCCACTACACTGGTGTGAACGACCGATTTTCTGGTTAGCATCTGAGTGCTTACTAGTCACTAGGGATACTTTAGACTACAAATGAGAGGGCAAATCCACGGCCACGGATTAGATTCTGACTTAGAGTTTCTACAGGACAGAGGAGAACTGCACCACAGGGTTTGAGCCTGTAACTCTTTACTAGAGCAGCCAGCTTCATCTTTTCCCTGCAGATGGCTAGTGGGTTAGCGGCCTAATGTTTAACCCATAGGACCACTGTGCCGCCTACCTCCTTTAGACTGACACGACGCCCAAATGCTGGTTTATGGACCAGTCTATAAGAAAACGAGGAAAAAATAGAAAAGCAGTATTTTCTCTAGGCAAGATGTTAAATACAATACTTTCCCTCCAACATCATGCCCCCTTTTTTCTGCTATTACTGTATATACTTGTGTATAAGCCGAGTTTTTCAGCACATTTTTAATGCAGTTTTTGTGGTAAAATTAGGTGCCTTGGCTGATATTTGGGTCGGCTTATCCTCGAGTATATATGGTATACAAAGTACTTAATTTCAGCTGTCTCATTTGCCTTTCAGACCTCATATCACTGAAGGTGTTTGTCTGGCATCTGGACTGTCTTTGAATCACCTTTTACTTCTTTAGCAATCACCACCTGTTTTACAATTCTGTGTACCTCAAGTTGATTGGGTCTTCTTATCAAAATGGAAGCACAGAGGGCATCCGACCTCTTCTAACTTCAGAGAAAGAGTCCAGATCAACAGCCCAAGGCTGCTTTCTAAGAAGCAGAGGTCAAGCCTCTCTCCAACATTTTTACCAACGCTGATACCAGTCATCCCTCCCATAGCACTCTACTCTGCTGGATTTGAAAATTCACTGCAATGGCTACAGAGAACTCAGGAGATAAAACTCATAATAATTACGGGTTTATTAGGGAAGTAACAGTTAAAACTGTGGATCAGGAACAACTCCAGACACAGTTCTTTATTCAGTACAGCTTTTCAGTAGTACCTACACGCAGGCTTCTCCCTGAGCCTTAGCCTCTCATTCTTTAGCCCAAGGCAGGCCGAGCCTCTGCTCTATTCAGGCAAGTTTACTTCCACCAATACATGCCCAGAGCCAGTAGCCTTGGCTAAAGATGCTCTGCTCTCCATTCTGCCAGTAACACTCCTGCCTGAAGGTGTTCCAGCCTTCTCATGCCATAATCCAGGAAGTCCAGGGAACCATTTCCCTGTTCTGATGCCTCCGTTGTTCTACTGCTGCTTCTGTCCATCTCCAGGCTCTGGGCTCTATAGAAAGATCTCGGTGGTGGTACCCCGATACACTCCACTCCCACCTAGCTCTTGGTCCATCCCTCTTTCTGCTGCTGGATGGCCATGTAGGAGGAAAACTGATCGATCTCATTAGGGTTCCATATCCCTAATTTTCGTGGTTCAATCCCCAAAGGGGTTCCACGCACCTTATTTGCATGTTGTTTTTAGGTGCCTCTGAATTGGGCCCAACTCAGTTACCCGATGTGTAACAGAATGAATCAGGTGGAGTCCTGCACCATTTTCACAATCACGGCTATGCTCGAGCCCACTGTTGAATGCTGTCTAAATGAAGGCCTTCCTTTCTCTCTTTCCCTGACCCTCAACTCTACACAGCATGTATCTCCTTCTCCAGGACTGGTCTTTCCTGACAACATATCCAAAAAGTAAGTGAGGAAGTCTTGCCATGCTTGCTTCTCCAAGAAGCATCTCAACTGTGCTTCTTCCAAGATGGGTGTCTATTCTTCTGGTAGCCTATAGAAAACATAATTCAAAAGCTAGTTTTCCTGACTCACCTCACTGCCCAGCTTTCACATGTATGTGAGGCAACTGAAAATCCCATGGCTTGAGTCAGAGACACTTCAGTCCTCAAGGAAACATGTTTTTTAATACTCTAAAGAGGTCTTGTAAGCATTTCTCCAACGAGATACATCATTTGATTTTCTGACTGCTGTTTCCATGCACACTGATTGTGGGCCATGTCAAGAAATCCTTGACAACTTCACTATTTTCTGTTAACCAAATTCCTTATGGGTTTGGTTGTGAAGATTTTTATTTTACGTTGAGGCTATAGTCTTTGATCTTTATCAGTAAGTGTTCATTCCTCTTTGCTTTTGGCATAGTCCCAATTAATCATTTGGTAGGAGTTACAAGACCATGGCTGGAAAGCCACAAAGGAGCCACCCATTGCACTGACTTATCATGTCGCTCCCTTGATTCAGGCCCTCATCACCCCTCACCCTAGATTGCTGTCAACATCCTCAGTCTCTTCACCCCTCCAATGAAACCTTTTAAAACTATCTGCTGAAATGTAAATGATTCCACTTTCAATCTACTACACTGGTTTTCCATCACTTCCTTACCGATGGGCAAAGAATTTAACTTACCAATTAATTCTTCCCATTCCCTATCCTACTACCCACATTTGCCAAATGTCTTGCTATGTTCCTAACCAAGTCACAAATTTTCAAGGTAGATGAGCAGATCTAACAAATTACACTCAAAAGCTATAAATGCAGAAGCGGAGAACAGCAATAGTTAACTCATTAATTAGAATATCTCAGTGACAAGCTCTTCTATACAATTTACAAATATTACTATAATCCTCACAGCAGCCCTACTAGGCAAGGTGCTGTAATAACCTGCTTTATAAAGGAGAAGCCCTGGTGGTAGTATGGTTACACGTTGTGCTGCGATCCACATGGTTCGCCGTTTGAAACCATCAGCAGCTCTTCGGGAGACAGACTGGGCTTTCTACTCTGGTAAACAGTTAGTCTTGAAAACCCACAGCGGTCACTATAAATCAGCATTGACTCAATGGAGCGAGTTTGGTTATAAAGGAGAAATAGAGATTGAGTAAACTGCTCAAGTTTACATAGGTAATCAGGCAAACTGGGATGAGTCTACAAATTTTGACACTACACCACAGCTTCCTAAACTTATTTCGCCTACTGAACTCCCTTTCAGGGGAAAAAAATAAACCACT